TCCTTCTCCTCCCCTTGCTCCTCCCCTCCGCCTCCTCCTTCTCTCTCTCTCCCCCTCCTCCTCCTCTTCCTCGTCCTCCTCCTCCTCCCCCTCCGCCTCCTCCTCCTCCTCCTCCTCCTCTTCCTCCTCCCCCTCCTTCCTCTCCTCCTCCTCCTCCTCCTCCTCCTCCTCCTCCTCCTCCTCCTCCTTCCCCTCCTCCTCCTCCTCCTCCTCCTCCTCCTCCTTCCTTCCCCTCCTCCTCCTTCCTTCTCCTCCTCCTCATCCTCCTCTTCCTTCTCCTCTTCCTCCTCCTGCTCCTCCTCCTCCTCGTCTTCCTCTTCATCCCCGAGTCGACAGGATTCTTGGGCAGGACCAGGGGCCCCGCGCAGTCACAGGTATGGCTGTCGTTATGTGGCACCAGGAGAGCCAGGCAGGCAAGTCGGTGAGGCTTCGGGCTGCGCGCAGCCAGGCCCGCCATGTTGTCCCGGCTGGCCTCAACAGGTCCTCCGAGCAGCCCAGGGCGGCCCCTCCCTCCCTCCTCCTCCTCCTCCTCCTCCTCCTCCTCCTCCTCCTCCTCCTCCTCCTCCTCCTCCTCCTCCTCCCTCCCCCTCCCCCTCCCTCCTCCTCCTCCTCCTCCTCCTCCTCCTCCTCCTCCTCCTCCTCCTCCTCCTCCTCCTCCTCCTCCTCCTCCTCCTCCTCCTCCTCCTCCCCGACTCGACTCGATTCCGGCATGGCCCCAACAGGTCCCCCGAGCAGCCCGGGGCGGTCTCGGCACCCCGGCGCCGCCTCCGGCGGCGCCCGCGGGGCGCTCCGCGCCCCGAAGCTGGGAGGGCTGTCTGCGCACGACCCGAAGCCTTGCCAGCGCAAGCTCGGCTCCGTGACGGCGCGTCGGCGCGAGAACGAAGGATTGCAAAAAACGAAGGATTGCAAAAAACGAAGGATTGCAAAAAAACGAAGGGTTTTTTTTGCAATCCTTCGAGGCACGCGTCGAGTGCACCTCACACGTTCCGTCAGGGCAGGCCTGCGCAGGCGCCGGGGTGACCTCTGCTGTCTGGGCCTCCCGCGGAAGCGGCTCTCGTTACAGGAGAAGGGGGTGCAAGCCCTGGTTCGGGGCAGCGTAAGACCTGGGTTTGCCAGGACTCGGGTTCGCCATCGTTTTTTGACGACCGCGCCTCGGATTTTGACGAGGAGGAGTTTCGTGGGATGTCTGCAGCGGGAGGCCTCGTCAAATTGCAGGCTCGGCCTCGTCATTTTTTTGACGACCTCGTCGGGGATTTCCGAGTCCCCTGTACCCAGGTCTTACGTCCCCCTGACTGGTGTCGCCCGAGATCCTGACACATGGACGCCCAGAGGAAGGGGCACAACAACAAAAAAACAACACTATTCAATATTCGAGGGTCGAGGGCAAAGTCGCGGAGGAATAAAAAGACGACAGGGTCGCATGACGTCGACGCGGCGGCAATGTTGCTGCCGGCCTTGAAGCTTGAAGGTCGCCAGCGCCGTGAACAACACCAACATTGAACGATGGCTGCTGTCGGACAGCAAAGCTCGCGCAAGGTCAAGCCTTGGACGTGGTGTCCGTAACCAACGTGCACGTCTTCAACCCCCAATCAGCCGCACCCTCTCCGACGTCGCGTGTGTGTATATATATACATATATATATATATATACTGCCCCTAGCCACGCAGGATAATAGGAATGCAAAGGTCTCTCAGTCCCTTTACCCTGGCTGCTCCCCTCGAGCCGCTCCTGACGGCCCTGGAGCCCATAGACCGAACCTTGCATGCAGAAGATGCAAACAGCCTACTTTTTGAATTTCTCAAGACGTCGGAGGCAAGGGACCCCGACACCGAGATGCGGCGGAGCGCCGGGGGGCGAAGTTTTGAGTGAGCGGGCCTCCTCAGAAGGCTCGGAAGGCCTCAGGACTTGAGAGAAGGGCCCCCCCTCCCCCTCATCTTCCTCCTCCTCCTCCTTCTCCTCCTCCCCGTCCTCCTCCTCCTCCTCCTCCTCCTCCTCCTCCTCCTCCTCCTCCTCCTCCTCCTCCTCCTCCTCCTCCTCCTCCTCCTCCTCCTCCTCCTCCTCCTCCTCCTCCTCCTCCTCCTCTCCTCCTCCTCCTCCTCCTCCTCCTCCTCCTCCTCCTCCTCCTCCTCCTCCTCCTCCTCCTCCCCTCCCCCTCCCCTCCTCCTCCTCCTCCTCCTCCTCCTCCTCCATTTCTTCCTCTTCCTCTCCTCCTCCTCCTCCTCCTCTCCTCCTCCTCCTCCTCCTCCTCCTCCTCTCCCCCTCCCCTCCTCCCCATCCTCCTCCTCTCCTCCTCCTCCTCCTCCTCCTCCTCCTCCTCCTCCTCCTCCTCCTCCTCCTCCCCCTCCTCCCCTTCCTTCTCCGTCTCTGAGCCTTCTCCGGAGCCCCGCCGCCTTTGGAGACAGCTTATCCCCTCTCACTTTCCCCTTGATGGGCCTCCGATGGGAACTTCTGCTTAGCGTGTTGCCTTGACGGTTCTGGCCCAACACACTTCGGCGCGACCCGCCAACCACATTCCCTCTGCCAAGCGCCAACGTCGCGAGCCTTTCCGAACCTCCCACTCGGCCACGCGCAGAGGGGAGTAGGGGGAAGGGGGGGGCTTCTTAGAGGCAGCGCCTCCTTCTTAGAAGGCGCGGGCCTTGCCTGTAGATGTAAGGCCAGCGCCTTCTGATACGCAGCCTCCTTCTAAAACGCCTTTCCCCCTCCCCTTGCCCCCCTTGTGCGCGCCGCCAGCCCGCCCTGCGGTGCGGAGCGACACGCCATCGGCTCAGCGCGACACGCTGAGCAGAAGTTCCCGACCGTAGAGATGGCCAGCGGCCCCTCTGGGCCCCGAGGAGCCCCATCGTCCTCACGGTGGTCAGCCCGGGCGAGGTTGAGGCGACCCTGAGCATGCTCACCAGCCTTCAGGCTGCGGGCGGCCAGACGCGGTCTTCCAGGAGGAGGGAGGAGGAGGGGAAGGAAAACGAGGGAGGGAGGAGGGGGATCGAAGAGGGAGGGGGAGGAGGAGGAGGAGGAGGAGGAGGAGGAGGAGGAGGAGGAGGAGGAGGAGGAGGAGAAGGAGGAGGAGGAGGAGGAGGAGGAGGAGGAGGAGAAGACCCCTGAGGCTCAGGCGTCTGCCAGAGGTTGGGCCATCTGCTTGCATTAGCGGGCCGCTGTCTCCTCCCATGCATCCCCGCGCAGCCATGGTCGCGGCAACCCGGCTCCTCATCCAGGAGTTGGAGAATGATTGGCAGAGCGTCGTCAAGGTTCGCACGCACAACGGGAAACTCATCTTGCAGGTCTGCTTGTTCCCTGGCCAGGCGCCGGCGATGCAGAACAGTCTTGTTCACCAGCTTGCTCCACTGGGTACACATGGATATCGACATCGCCGCAATCGTGGACCACGGACACAATAATCCCAAACATGAATCTCACAGTCGCATTGTCGTGACACCCCTTGCGGTCCGCCTAGAAGGCGTCTCCGCTGCGCCGCGCGCTAACCGCCTTGCGGAGGCGGAGGCCCCCTGGTCGCCAGACGCAGGGTTGCCTGACTGGACCAGATTCAACTCGCAGCGCAGTTGGTAACATCTACGCAGCTACGACCCTGCCGTCGGCCGAACAGGAATTACGCAAACTACATTTACGACGGTACCACACCAAGCAACCGACAATGAGACCCATCTTACCGAATGATGACGTGGATGACGCCCGCTTGAACAGGATACAGGATGTCCGCGACACTTGCCAGAAATGTCGAGCGTGGGAACGACCAGGAGACACCGCGGTTCCTTCGGTGAGCTCGGACACGCCCGACTTAACATTGGGGCTTTCGGTGGAGCTCCGTCTCAGGCCACGAATCGCGTGAGAGGTGTGCTGAAATGTACATGCGGTGGCCGGGGAACCGCATGTGAATTTAGACCACTGGGGCCTTCGGTGGAGCCCCTTATGGGGCCATGAAGCGCGTGAGTAGTGCGCCGACATGGACATGCGGTGGGCGGGAAACCGCATTTGAACCGTGACAGTGGGGCCTTCGGTCGAGCTCTCTGTGTGGCCACCAGCCGTGTCAAATATGTGCCGACATGTACATGCGGTGGGCGGGGAGCCACATGCGAATTTTGCTACTGGGGCCTTCAGTTGAGCCCCCAGATGGGACCACGAAGAATGGGAATGGTGTGCTGTAGTTGTTGGGATGCGGCAAGTAGAGGCAATGACGGGAGGAGGGAGGAGAGAAAAGAGACGAGAAAGAGAGGACGCGTGGCGTTGTCTCTTCGAAACGAGGACTTGAGGACCCAACATCACATTATGGTTAGGAAATACCGCGGTCTTATGTCATTCAACCTCATACTTCATTACACCATGCGATTCGTCCTTATTGCGTTTCGTTCTCCATTAGCATACCTCACAACATTCGAGATGCACGGACAGTCCTTTCTCATTAAGGGGCGTTCCCAATTTCGGTGCAGCTCCGGATCCTGACCCCTGGGCAAACCAGGGCCCAGTCTGGTAAGAACCACTTCGATCCGATCGATCCAATTCGTTGTCGATCCTGGCCAGCCCCATCCGATTCGATTCCGGTTTTTGGGCGATGCCCGCATCCTAGCGTTGCCAATCCGATTCGATTCGGGTTCCATGCTGATTCGGCCGATCCGACGCAGATTCTGATCCGATCGGATTTCCAGGCCCGATGCTGACAGACCTTGCTTCTGGACGTCGCCAGACCGAGTCTTCTGGCGAATCGCTGTTTCAATCCACGGCGGCCCTCTTATCTTCTTACGGTCTCCGCGGGAAGGAGGGGGCGCGCCCGGGCCAGAACCGAGTCCGAGACCAAATGTTGCCCCCCTGGGAAGGTGTCAAGATTCATGCGCCGGCGGATTGGAAACGCCAATGCACCGGGCGCTTGTCGGGAAACCCAAATCCTCGACCCTCGATCCTCGATCGTCGCGAGAAGAGCTTTGGCAGTTCCCACCGTCGCAGGCCGTCGGGGAGGAGGCCAGCAGCCTCGTCATCGGCACCAGCCTCGGCATATGCAAGGCGCTGTCCGAGGGCAACGGCGTCTCCGGCAACAAGTGCATCGCGGTGCAACCCGCGCAGGACCGGCGCCCACTGCCCCAGCACCCCCTCTCGCGACCTGGCTTTGACGTTTCTTCCCAGCACCCCCTCTCGCGACCTGGCCTTGACGTTTCTTTTGGTCGGCCGCACCTTCTGCGTGGGCTCGTGTCGTGCAGACGTGGCGGCGAGCCCGTTCGACGATCGAGGAGGTTCGAGTGGTTTGGCTCGCTTTGGGTCTCCCTGGGTGCCCTCGTCGATGCGCCTGCATTTCCCTTCGGAATTTGTCCCGGATGCACCCTTGTCCGGTAGCATCTCATAGGAGCCTTGCATGTCTTCGGAATTCCGCAAGCGATGAGAAGTGCTGGCTCAGCGTCGATTAGCGCCGAGTCAGCCTCGACTATCGTCGACTGGCTTTGATCAGCGTTGCCCAGCATCGATTCGCAAGAGCCAGCAACACATTGGAGGCTCCCATGAGTTGCCACAGAACCGTTCCTCCTCCTCGTCGCCGCGGTCCTCCTCCTCCCCCTCGTCGTCCTCCTTCGCCTCGACTTCGTCCTCCTCCTCCCTCGTCGTCGTCGTCCTCCTCCCCCCCTACGTCGTCCTCCTCCTCGCCCCAGTTCCAAGGGCCACACGGTCCTGCGACAGCTCGGCCCGAGTGTACGTCACCCCTCTTCAGAGGCCTCGTGGGCTCCTTCGTCGAGTAAAACGGGGGGCCCTGCGTTCTCCTCCCTGCTCCCCTCTGGCGCGACACGCTGCCCACGTCCTGGTCCCCAGGCGCCGACGCCCCGAGCCATCCCCGAGCCTCTTTCGCGCCGCGGAGCGGAGCGACAGGGCATCCGCTCGTGAGGCACGGCGTGTCGCGGGGGCCGCTGTGGCGACACGCTAAGCTTAAGTCGGGCCTGTCCCCCTACAGGTGGACTTTCGACGAAAAATAAAAAAACAGACCCCACAAAATACCCCAACAAGGTCAGAACATACTAAAAAAAAGTCTCCAGATTATTTTTGGATTGTTTTTTTGATTATTTTGGGGGTATTTGTTTTTCGTTTAAATTCCCCCTGTAGGGGGACAGGCCCGACCTAACGCTAAGCGAAGGTTCCCGACCGCAGACATTAATTTTCGGAGCTCCGCGCGGATTTGGTGGATCGCCGATGCAAGAAAAATCTGCGTGGACCCCCGAACGCTGATGTTGATGACATTCTTCGTTCGCAGAGGAGTCGGCCAGCATCGAGCGACCTGAGCTATGGGAAATGCGCCATCGCCCAAGGTTGCACGACCCACGGATTCAGGAAGCAACGCGTACGCCGTCGCGACATGATCTTGCCGTAGGGCCTCCGGCCGAGCGCTGGCGTCCGCGGCCGAACGCTGCCGGCTGTCAGCTCTGCACGAACGAGATGGGCACTGGAAGAATGGTTACAGTGCTCAACAGCAGTTCCTGGTCATTTTGAGCGGGACTCGCTGTCCGCGCCGCCGCGGCCTGTGTCCATTTGAGACAGAAGGCCGCCTGCCCAAAAGCGGCCGCTGAAGGTTTGGGGCAACATCTGTTGTTGGACATTATACTAGTTTTTTCCGTACCCATTTCGGGCGTCCAAATCAGCACGGTTGGGGCGTTGGGACCAGGGCGGACAATCCACGACTGGAATTCCACCGGCTTTCAGGCCCTGGATTCCTCGCCTACTGTTCCTTCTCCAATGCCCTCACCGTAGCTATGGGAACGCCGCGACCGCCCGAGGTTGGATGACCCTCGGCGCCAGGAGGCAGCGCAGACGTCGTCGCGACGTGAACTTGCCGTAGAGCCTGCGGCGCCGCCCCTGGCGCACTCTGCGCGCCGGGGAGGGGGGTCCAGGCGTCGATCCAAGAAATCTGCGCGGATCTCCGACGGTTTACCGTTCCGCGTCTTGGCGCAGCCCGTGCAGGATGTGCGGAGCAGCGTCTTCAAGCACGCCATCCTCGCCACTGTGGCTGCAGCTGGCCTCAGCGATAGGCATCACGGGTAAAAGACACCCAGATTTCCGATGATACGTTTTTTTTCACTCCGGGTATTTTTCCTAGTTTCCGGCCTCTGGGGCCCATTATCGGGCCGCGGGACCAGCAAAAACGGACCGGGGGCGAACAAGATTGCCCCGGGGATGGGGTCGGGATTTCCAGGGCGGATTGAGAATTATCCTGGCGAAGGACCCAGTCAGATGCCATTGTGAGTACCTCGTTGTGGGCACCGCTTTCGGTGGAGCTCTCTACAGGGCCACGGAACGTGTGAGGGGTGTGCTGAAATGGGTGGCGGTGGGTCCCAAGTGGGTGTGCGGACCCTGCCACTGGGGCCTTCGGTGGAGCTCGCTTATGGGGCCACGGAACGTGTGAGGGGTGCACCGACGTGGGTGGGGAGCCGCATGTGGGCCCTGTCACTGGGGCCTTCGGTGGAGCTCGCCATGGGGCCACGAAGCGTGCGAGAGTTGTGCCGGCATGAGCGGGGAGCCGCATGTGGACCCTGCCACGGGGGCCTTCGGTGGAGCTCCCTATGGGGCCACGGATCGTGTGACTGTGAAGGGGTGTGCTGGAAAATGGCAGGGAGCCGCACGTGCACCCTGCCCTTGGGGCCGTCGGTGGAGCTCCCCATGATGCCTCGAAACGTGTGAGGGGTGCGCCGAAATTGGTGGGGAAGCGCTTGTGAACCCTGCCACTGGGGCCTTCGGTGGAGGGCCACGAAGCGTGTGAGGGGGGTGCTGAAAAATGGGCGGGGAACCGCATGTTGATCCTGCCACTGGGGCCGTCGGTGCAGCTCCTTCTGTGGCCACGAAGCGTGTGATGGTTGTGCCAAAATGGGCGGAGTCGCGTGTTGACCCTGCCACTGGGGTCTTCGGTGGAGCTCGTTTTGGGGCCACGAAGCGTGTGAGGGGTGTGCTGGAACATGGGCGGGAAACCGCATGGGGACCCTGCCACGGGTGTCTTCGGTGGAGCTCCCTGTGGGGCCACGAAACGTGTGAGGGGCGCGCCGAAATGGGCGAGGAACCGCGTGTGGACCCTGGCACTGGGGCCTTCGGAGGAGCTCCTTATGGGGCAACGAAGCGTGCGAGGGATATGGCGACATGGGCGGGGCAATGACTGTGGACCCTGTCACTGGGGCCTTCGCTGGAGCTCCTCATGGGGCCACGAAGCGTGTGAGCGGTGTGGCAGAATGGGTAGGGAGGCGCACGTGGACCCTGCCGCGGGGACCTTGGGTGGAGCTCCCTGTGGGGCCACGAAGCGTGTCGGGGGGGTGCCGAACAATTGGCGGGAAGCCGCATGTGGACCCTGCCGCTGGGGCCCTCGGTGGAGCTCGCTTGTGGGGCCACGAGGCGTGTGAGGGGTGTGCCGAACTGTGCCTGGTGCAGAGGGGAGAGGCACGGGTGGGAGGAGGGAGTGCGGAACGTGGGACGCTGTCTCTTCACAACCAGGACTTAACACTACAGGATGGTGGGGGAAAAACGTCTCGGCGGGGGTCAGGGCATATCGAGACTTCCCATAACCTCAATCGTCTTCAAACCCTGGGTCTCTTGGGGGTCCCTTGTCGCCACAGCCAGATTCGACTCGGAGCCCTGATCATATTGCACCTTGCGACAGACCTGTGGAGTAGCGGGTTGGATATCTCGAGTTCCCCCAGGATCGTGTACGCGTCGCCGAGCGCCACGTTCTCCAGGAACTTGGACTCTGCAGATCCCCACAAGCACGTCCTTTTCGCCCAGAAGTCCTGCAGCGACGCCGCTGCAGAAGCGACTGAGCCGATCGACGGCGCCGTGATTCACTTGTCGGATGCGCCTGAGGCCACTGAGATTCTCATGCGGGCGTGGGAGCGCATGCTCATTGATGACAAACTCTCTCACTCCGAGGCCCTCGCCGCAGCAGTGAAGGCGACCAGCTATGCCGAGGTCGGCCTCCTCTCGTGCGACTCGTACAAGGTCCAGTCCGCCAACGCGACCGACGCCGACAAGATCCTGAGTTGGGAGATGCCCCCCGGCGTGGCCGAGAACATGAGGCGTCGGGGGCCTCGAGACGGGGGTCGACGCCAACGGGGGTCAGCCAGATCGCCGGATCTTGCAGGATCCTGTAGAGCCAGGGTTGCACTGACCCGGACCAGCGTGCAGGATCATTGATGATGATGATGATGATGATGATGATGATGATGATGATGATGATGATGCTGATGATGCTGGTGCTGATGATGATGAGGAGGAGGAGGATGATGACGATGCTGACGATGATGCTGATGAGGATGATGATGATGATGCTGATGATGATGATGATGTTGATGATGATGATGATGATGATGATGATGATGATGATGATGATGATGATGATGATGATGATGATGATGATGATGATGATGATGATGATGATGATGATGATGATGATGATGCTGCTGCTGCTGCTGCTGATGATGATGATGATGATGATGATGATGATGATGATGATGATGATGATGATGACCCTGGTCAGTACATCCCCGAAGGCGGCAGCACAAGAAGGCGAACGCCAACGCCTGGGTGGACCGTCTGCGCAGGCAGGCCTCCAACAGCACCCGGCGCCTCGAGCGCTCCTCGGAGGGGGCCGACAGCCAGCGCCGTGCCGAGTGGAAGAAGCAGGCCGACGGCTGGAAGGATACGTGGGAGAAGAGGGTGCAGGAGCTTCGGGACGAGAATGGGTACAACGAGACGGAGGTGAGAGAGCAGAGGAGGCTGCGGAGGCAGTGGAACAAGGCCCACAAGACGACTCATAAGAAGCGCGTCCGCTACCTGCCCCCCGACGAGGCGGCGAAGGTGAGGGCGAAGGACGAGGCGTGGGAGGCTTCCCAGCAGAAGCAGAAGCAGGACGACCTTGCGAAGGCCGACGAGCGCAAGGCGGCGTTCCAGCACGAGGTGGAGAAGGCGCAGCGTGCAATGGAGGCCGAGGACGACGAGGAGGGCGATGAGGATTCCACCGACGAGGAGGCAGGGGCAGCCTGAACTAGGCTGCGGGCTCGGGCTCAGCTGTCCGTGAGCTTCATTTTGTTGCTGCGGCTTCTGCCACACGATCGCAAAACATGCGCGGGGAGGCAGGGGGGCAGGGGTGCAGGGCCAAGCGGGCGGGCAGGGGCACGTGGGTCCCGCCCTCCAAACCTCCCCCCCGTCCCCCCTCGTGTCTTCTCCTCCGTGTCCGCTCACCCCACCATTCCCCCCCCCCCCCCCCCCCCTCCTGCCCCCGGTTCCCTCCGTGCGCCCCCCCCGCCCGCCCGAGAGGGGGGGGAGGAGGAGGGAGGAGAGGAGGAGGAGGAGGAGGAGGAGGAGGAGGAGGAGGAGGAGGAGGAGGAGGGGGAGGAGGAAGAGGAGGAGTCTTTCTCCTTCCTCGCCTCTCTCACGCTCCCCTGCTTCCTCTCCAGGGCTCTCCCGGGCCGGACCCGGGGACCGGCGGCACGGCCAGTTGTCAGGGATTAGTGGTACGGGCATCTGCCACTACTGCTGGGGTTGCTTCGCCCCTGGGGCGAAAGGGTCACCTGGTCAGAGGGCTCTCTCTCTCTCTGTTTCCCTACCTAGGCTCTGCCTAGAAGGGTTCTTACTCGCTTGGCTTAAAGGGGCCGGGCAGTGCAAACCGCCCCGGGCGGTTCCCCCAGTCCCCTGGGAGCCAAGCAAAAGCAACAGCAAAGGAAAAAGCAAACGCGCGGTTTCCCCAGTTGCGCTCCCTGCCAAGCAAAAGCAAAAGCAAAGGCAGCAGTGAAGGCAACAGCGAAGGCAAAGCAAAATCATAGCATATCATAGCATAACATAACATAGCATAACGCAGCATAACATAGCGCAGCATAGCATATCATATCATAGCATAGCCTAGCCCAGCATAGCATTGCGCAGCATAGCATAGCATATCATAGCATAGCATATCATAGCATATCATAGCAGAGCATAGCATAGCATAGCATATCAGAGCATAGCATAGTATAGCATAGCGCAGCACAGCATCCACTATTGCTGCTGCTATATATAGATGTAGATGTAGATGTAGGTGTAGATATAGATGTAGATGTAAAGAACTCCCCAGTGCCCCGCCCTCATCTCCGTGCCTGCTTGCATTTGCTGCTGTCTCGGCGACTTGCTGCCTGCTTCTGCTGCTGCTTCACTTACGGCGTGGCGTCGGCGGTTCTGGCGCTACTACTACTACTACTACTACGACGACGACGACGACGACGACGACGACGACGACGACGACGACGACGACGACGACGACGACGACGACGACGACGACGACGGACGACGACGACGACGACGACGACGACGACGACGACGACGGACGACGACGACGACGACGACGACGACGACGACGACGACGACGACTGACGACGACGACGACGACGACGACGACGACGAC